TGCGTATGATTTGTGTGCTCAATAAACAACTAATACGTGGACAATAATTAAAAGTGATAGAATTATACTAACACTTCCTTTTCCTACTTCGAACACGTTCTCTTTCTGTTAAACGGAGACTGAAGAGCAAAGCGATTTTTAGCGTAATAGTAAAGTACAATTTTGCAATCCCGAAACCACGATTACCACGACAGCACGTTTAGTAAGCGAAAAAAAACGCGTGGTAAGAAAACGCGGGTGGTGACGCAACCTTGAGATTCCAGTATTAAATATCACCAAGCACCATGACGTAAGAAATTTTGAAGGTGTCTACGATGGTTTCCGAAATCTTTCATAGATAAAAGTGAAGTACATTGTCATGTGTGGCTGTTGTAGACTTATCATAAGAAGGTTCAGATAATTTCATTCAGTCAATACAACGGAAATACCACGAATGAATTTTGAAATTTATGACGTCAAAAATGAAGGTTTTTGTGTGAACTTTAGAAATGAAACATAAAGCCTTGATTTTCTCCGCTTATAATGAACTTATGATAGGGCAACATATGTCATTATAGTTTTCAGGGTGCAGTTGCTCAAAGTAAAGCAAGTCATTGTTGTTCTTCAGTGTCCCTTTAAGCCAGTCTTTCGAAACGAACATATCGTACATGGATGGATGGATGGATGGATGGATGGATGGATGGATGGATGGATGGATGGATGGATGGATGGATGGATGGATGGATGGACGGACGGGCGGACGGACGGACGGACGGACGGGCGGACTTTATTTGGTCCTTCGAAACGCGTTTAACAGAAAGCGCGCCGACATGAAGAAATATTGTTTTTCAATACTTTGCTGATATTCAAGCAACACTGTAATTTAGCCATAAGAAAACAAATAGTCTTTACACACATTTTATGCCACCTAGGAATGTTATAGATTATGTGCGACTTGTGATAGAGCACTTTTTAAGAAAACTGTGGACTTGTTGTACTCGCTAGATTAATAATAACGTAATTATTTGTTAATTTATTATCAAATAATGATTTTAAAATGCCAAACAAAGCTAATAATTAAGCGAATTCACGCAAGTATGAGGTGAGTGCTATGTTGAGCATGCATATGAACCAATCAGTATGACATGAAAGCATCTACTGATGATCCGTCGGTAATGTTTGAGTCGTAAGACACTATACAATATAATTTACCGCGATAGCGCTAAAGAGATTGTTTCGCTGAATTCTTGCGTCGGCATCGACAAGATTAGTTGTGAGCGAAATATCATCTTTTCAGTGTCCTAAATATGCAAATAAAATAAATAAAAATTTAGAGTTTAATTATGGATCTAACCCAGACTTCCTGCGCGGCAAGCATATGTTTTATCACATAGCCGCGGCATTTATTAGAACTCTACATAAATATCATGCAGCCAGAGGAGTCTCCTTAAAAGGACCCTAAAGTTAAATAACAATTTATGTCATAGTGAAAGCTTAATGTATGACAACGTTTAAAACGACAATATTATCAATTTAAGTGCCCGATTTACCGAGAATATAATCTAACTGAACAAGAACACATGCGCTACGAGTGGGACATTCGCAAATTAATACCGATGACGTCAGAGTTACCACCTGAACATAATCACTAGTAATAGAACTAGCTGCACTAAATAAAGAACATACTGTGCATCAAGAGACGTAATAAACTGCTGCTTGTTCGTTTCTGTTTGACTAATGGGGAAAAGAACAGCCGGAAGTTGCTATGGGGAATGGCGCGAGTGCTTCAAAACTTCTATTCTCGCCTGGTTAAGCTGGAGAGGCCGTGCCAACTAGCGGGGCCTACTTGAACCAAGCATGCCTGCCATTTCGGAGGCAATGACAAGAAATTGTTCAATGGTTGTTGTTGCTGAGGGAAACTTCTAGACGCCTACACCACCGCAGGAAGATACATATAGATGGTGGTTTGGGCGTCCAGAAGTTTCCTTCAGTATTACGAACCAACTAGACCAGCAACAAGTACTTCTAAGCTGTTGTTGCTGCTTTGTCTCCCACTAATTTCGCACTGCTGTTACAGTAGTATCAGCAGCCACGCAATGAACCGGGCAACATTGTGCACAGCAACAGTGACGTGAAAGTTTCCACTAGAGGCGGGTAATTTGAAGTGTGATAACATGATGTGGACTACTAAAACGTAATTTTATTGCATTATAAGCACTCCCTTGGCACAGAAGTAGCACTACGAGGTTCTGGAATGTTATTTTAGCAACCAACATGGATTTAATTTATTCTTTTAGTATCCATTGAGGCGCATCAGATATTACGTGGCAAAAGCGTAGAATCATGCCAGGCGTCGAAACATGTGAATTGTAAAATGAGTGGGTGTTTGAAAGGCCCGCCCATTACAAAGCACTGAGATATATTTCTACCCAATAATGGCCCAATACGGACGCGTATTTAGCCATTCGCTGATGCTCAAAAAGAATAATTATGGCGTAGTGGACACTTAGCCCCTGAGCTTACAGTAGGCATTCAATGATACTTTGAAACGGCCATTGTTATGCGCAGTCGTTCTTTTTCTTCCGGCACGGTTGAGCAATACACCGAAAACCGAAGCGAGCTAGCAGTTCTGAAGGCGACGTGCAAGAGATAATATGTTGTGATCTGCTCCTGAAGGAGAAGCTCAAGCATCTTGAATTTTTTTGTTGATATCCTCGTGAAATTCACGCAATAGCTAAGTGATATTTGAAGCGTGTGTATCCAAAAAGTGGTGTTTCGGATGGGTGCAAGCTAATTAGACACATGTATGTGTGTGTGCAAGCCTGACACGTACTAGACATGGGATTCGTATTTTTAAAACACGTATTTTACTTTAATTACTTGGGTAACTTTCTGGCGTAACAATTTATCATTTTGGCATAGTGTGGCCGATACTGACGATGGTCATAGAAATGGCCGTAGCTGCCAGTCAAATGCAATAGACCAAAGAATTGAACATTACAAGATCATATATAGTTATTATTGCAGCCCATGGTACAAATATACCTGCACCTAAAAGAGAAAACTCGCAGATCTGACGCATCGCATGAATGTATGTTATGCGAAGCAGCCAGTCAGGAGCAAATCATGGTGTATATAACACGCATTCCATGACTTACGTGTTACCTCCTGCCATTTATGTTCCTCGTAGAGTCATGCCACGCTGTACCCCTCTTGGTGTATTTGAAGCTAGTGAACTGGACGCAAGCGCACCATGAGCTGGACCTTTAAACGGCGTCGAACATGACATGAATTTCTTGATAACCATTTTATAGGATCTGTTATTTTTGTTTGCCTTAGAGGCACGTCATGCAATACCAAATTTGGTGTATATCAAGCCATAGCGAAACGAGCGTGAGCGTGCCATGAGCGTGGCATGTAAGTCATGTTGCACATGGCAAGTAATGATTTCCATATTACCGCTTGTCGCTTATGTTCTTTATACAGTCACGTCACAAATTTTTAAATCTCGTGTATATCACTTAGGTCAATAAAAACGTCCGCGTCATGCCGCACATGACGTCATGATTTTCGTATTAACACCTGCCCCACAGTCATGCCATGCAATACCAAGTTTGGTGTATACCACGCAATCTAAACGGCCGTGAGAGTGCCATGAGCAGGGTGTGCAAGTCATATGACATATGATATGTGCCCATTTCCATATTAGCACTTGTTTAAGTTCATCATGCAGTCACGCCAGTTAATACCACATATGATGTATATCAAGCGAGCGAAACGGCAATCAGTGCACCATGAGCTTGGCGTGTAAATCTTCTTGTATATGGTATGGACGAAATCATTTTACATTACCACCTGTCATTAGGTTGGCCATGCAGAAATGTCTAATCGTAGGACTTGTGAGATATACCAGTTGTGGGATATACCAAAATAGTCATGATTTTCATGATGTGACAAGTCATTCATATTCGTTAATGTCATGTTAATCCTAGTAATTTTGGATACGATTCGGTCTGGAGAGCTCTCAGCCGTAGATAGATAGATAGATAGATAGATAGATAGATAGATAGATAGATAGATAGATAGATAGATAGATAGATAGATAGATAGATAGATAGACGGCGGACAGACGGACGGACAGACAGACAGACAAACAGATAGATAGATAGATAGATAGATAGATAGATAGATAGATAGATAGATAGATAGATAGATAGATAGATAGATAGATAGATAGATAGATAGATAGATAGACGGACGGACGGACGGACGGACGGACGGACGGACGGACAGACAGACAGACAGATAGATAGATAGATAGATGGATAGATAGATAGATAGATAGATAGATAGATAGATAGATAGATAGATAGATAGATAGATAGATAGATAGATAGATAGATAGATAGATTCAATGTCGCTGAAGTTTTCTAATAAAGGCTTCTCATTAAAAAAATGCTACAACTGTTGCTTGGGCGAGTTGGTTCATGCTTATTTAAACTGTTTTTTTTTTCAGCGCAAAAAAGACAGAACTTTAAAAAAAAGACACACACACACACACACAGCGCTATGTGTGTGTGGGTCTTTTCTAATAGTTCTGTCTTTTTTGCGCTGATAAATCAGTCTAAAAAATAGTTGTACATGCATAATTGACCACATCCTCCATAGTTTTTCTTCTTGAGAGAAAGCTATTTGTTCACCATCTGGCATTAACGCGAGTAAACAGTTTTTGATCGGCTGATGTGTTTATGAAAATTCTACGTAATACATCGCTTTTGCATGGTGCAATAGTAGAAGTTCGTGCTTTTCGCGGGCTTAAAGGAGCAAACGAAGAACTTGCAGAAAATACGGCAGACTGTGCGACACAAATAACACAATGCATTCACTCATAATACGACCGCGTAGTTTTATGCATAATCCGGGAATACGTAAACATGTGCGCAGATTCATACAAAACATCAATACCTTGAATGGCTCGTTTAAAGTTGTTTCATCTCGATGCTTAAGTAGACAGTACTCACATCTTGTTTGCGGTGGGTCACACTATGTCCTCCATGGCCACCGTAGCCGCCAGCATAAGCCAGAGAGACAAGTGCGGTTACAGTGAAAAGCTGCACGTAGAAATATTACAACTTTAGGTTTTAAAAGGTAGTAATAAGCTTATAACGGACTATTGCTTTGGTTTTTACTAAGCGAGGTGTTCACGCCTTCTACATATGTATATGTTTATGTTGTGGAAGCAATCATCGTTTTCTATTGTCTCTGCAATATACGACCTGATAGAAGACGTAAGAAGGAATCCAAAACAGAGATATTTTAGATTTTTTCAGTGCTATTGAACTCGCAAGCCACCTCATAATAATCTGCACATGTGAAATCTTGAACATTTTGGAGTATTTTGACGGGTGAAGCACTGTCGTGCCCACTGTGCGTCTTGGTATAGACCAGATTAACATACCCAATTCTTTCATTTGAACTGAACTGTACTAATTTGATTTAACTTATCCATTGACGCATCCTCGAATGGACTACTAAGGTATTCAGTCCCCAGCTGTGTCATCAATTATGACATGTTAATAAGGTAAAAAACCATGCCAACACATGGCATACAACTGTTTGTATAATTGCGGTAATGTGTCATTGGCGACTTCTCGCGTTAACCCTGAAGCTGTAGCTCAATTCTCCTGAATCAGGGGCAGTGTTGGGATGAACAGGTGAGAAAAGTTGGGGTGCAGAAAGCCCTTTTAAGTTTTCATTCCCTAACACATTAAAACATCGCTAAGTTTTCATTTCGTAACACATTATAACGCCACTACGTTGTACTCACAGAATGGCCGAACTGGGGTTGTTTCAAATGTAACCGAAAACGATGTAGTGTCAGGGGGCAAGGAAGATGGCTTTTTTACTTCTCCAAGCTACGCTAACTATTAGCCGCATCTTATATGAGTGAGATCCGGTAATTCTTCACGTCTTGTAGCTATCATTGTTTTGTGTACATGGCTATTTTCGCTTTCTGCCCCATTGTTAAGTGTATTTACCTGGGCGATGAATAAAGCCCTTGATATCACGTTAAGAAATGAAACGACAGGTCCGCAGAATCATGGCGGCTCTAAGAAAGCAGAAAAGAAGCACAATAAAGGTCGTGTGACCACCATTCTCTTTTTTAAGCTGTTCGAATTTATCATCGCTCTTCTAAATATACAAGTCTCTTAGTCGTTTTGCTATGCGCAGCTCAGTTTGAATACGAAGGAAATAGGCAATCGTTTTGTGATCATCCTGATGCATGTCTCCCTCCTTCATGCCTCCTTCCTGTTTTTGCCTCCCTCCTTCATGCTGAAACTGAGCTGCGTTAGAGCAATACGGCATATATAGCACCAACGTCTCTATCTGCAGTGCTTGTCAATAAAAGTGCATGATCAGTGGCACAAGTGCACATTACAAGAACAGATATCTATTTGGTTTTCGCATGCACCTATACCTATTTTGCAGCATTCGTCACAGTCCATGCGATGCTTTCAACAATATATGTTTGCCGCGGTCTGTCAGTCTCCTTATATCCTTGTATTTCCTGCTTCAATTTCTTAGTTAAATGAAATTATGTTGCCTTGTGTTTCACAGATATGTTTCTTTTCACTGCGAATTGAAGTTATCAATATCTACAACGTGGAGGTCGAAAGGGCAAACATTTCTTGCAAATATCATCCCGCTACGTTTACACTGAATCATTACCACAGTTCAAAAAGCTGCTCTTCGCATGTTCCTCTCCGGTCGACCTACACACAGTTTAAGCCTTATCGTGTGAAATATTTCACATTCCATACTACAAATCTGAAACTAACTCCCCCCTCCTAATTGGTCCTACCATAAACCGGGCTAAATAATAAGTTTCGCGCTCAGACAGGTGCCGACATAACACGTGCACCAAAGTGCGCACATTCAGCAACTACCGTCAGCGTATGGCATACCTCTCTGTCCATCAATACGTCAAAGTAATAACGCCGTGAACTCCGACGGATGAATGAAAGTGAGAGCACACACAAATTATGCCCCTGACGCCTTCCTGTTGGCTCGGCGACACTTTGAGCTGCCGAGAGCACAGGTAGCACGTTACTAACAACACACCAAAGTGCACCAAGACAGCTTATGAACCCATGCAATATGTAAAAAAAATCAACGTGTCACGACAATGCTCAACAATTGTTGAATGCGGTTTTGTCCAATAATTAGCCGCGTTAGACTTACCTTGGCAATCATTTTTCTTAATCAAGGTGCAAAGAAGCTCCTCTGTAAACGCACAAGCACACAACACCACAAGAGCGGCACGTGGAACCAAACTTCCGGTGTTTGGCGTGGCTTCGCTAGACCGGCCTATATATATCGAACCGCATGGCTGCTCCGGGGCACCCACTTTCGCGCCCTTACCCGAGGTGGCTAATCGACACTCAAGCAGCGCCCCTTTCTCATAACCTCCGCGTCATTTTCTCTTTTGCTCTGCCACTGCAATTTCATGTTGCTGTGACTTTTGCCTATGTTTTTGTTTTCCCACGCCCGGTTCGTGCAGGTCGATCGGCAGTGTGCAGTGCACTTGTCCCGCCGCTGACCGTTACGTCGCTAACACGGGTGATTTTGCTGCCCTGTGCGTGGCACAGCCTGTTTCCTTTAAAGAGTTGCCTTGCTCAATAGAATCTCAATCCTCCTTTTCTGGGAGACTTGGGCGAAGAGAACTAGGGTGACAGTGGGGAGCCCGGTATTATTCCGGCCCTGCATTTTTGGACATTCAATAACAGTGCTTAGAGAAGGAGACATCTTTGGACGTCTGAGCTGGGACACGCAGTTCACTGTGCCTCGATGCTTTTGTTAAAAATATGTAACGTGGTATGCAGGTCACCGGTAAGAATTTGACAGCGCAATTACACACCACTCCGTGTAGGAAACAATCTTTCATAATTGACCTTTCCAGTGCCGCTGTGGCAAGGGTCGTTCCTACCAGCGGAAAACATTTTAGTAGAGCTAGGAAATAATAAATCATTGCTACAGCGTGTTGTTATTGACACCATCATCGTCATCGTAGTTCAAATAAAATAACTACAAAAGCATAGTTGTGGGTATTCCTACGCTCAACGATAGGCTTCTATCATTTATGAATGTTGTTTTAGAAGGAACAAACGAAAGTAGAAGGGAAACGTTTGGCAGATAACATTGAATGTGGGAATAGATGTCCTGCAAAGCAGAAGGCGAGTAGTCGTTTATAGCGCATTTTTTATGGCTTTGCGTCAAGCACTGCGAGTTGGACCTTCTTATTTGTTGCTTGTGAGTAGATATAGACCGCCCGGTGACAAACGTTTGTGTGTGTGTGTGTGTGTGTGTGTGTGTGTGTGTGTGTGTGTGTGTGTGTGTGTGTGTGTGTGTGTGTGTGTGTGCGTGCGTGCGTGCGTGCGTGCGTGCGTGCGTGCGTGCGTGTGTAAGAGGGAGGGAATTTACTGAAGGCCTTAACTATTTGAGAAAATCTCCTATTTTCTCAAATTTTCTCCTATACATGGCAATGACCGCGCAGGTGAGGCCGCTAGATCTGCACACGACGGTACCCAGTACACAGCCAACCCGTTCTGAAGAACCAGCGCAGGTACAAAACTTCATTCGCTTGCACGTGACCTCATACTGGTGCAGTGGATTGATTGATTGGTGGGGTTTAACGTCCCAAAACCACTATTTGATTATGAGAGACGCCGTAGTGGAGGGCTCCGGAAATTTTGACCACCTGGGGTTCCTTAACGTGCACCCAAATCTGAGTACACGGGCCTACAACATTTCCGCCTCCATCAGAAATGCAGCCGCCACAGCCGGGATTTGATCTTGCGACCTACGGGTCAGCAGCCGAGTACCATAGCCACCAGACCACCGTGGCGGGGCAGCACTGGTGCAGTGAAATTCAACGAACTTCACAAACGCGCGCCTACATAACTTGGATCCCGATCTGCAGTTTCGTCTTCCCTCAGGGATATCTCGAGCTGAGGAGACTCTTCTATGCCGCCTGTGGCTTGGAGTGGCCTTCACGAACGCATAATCTTATCTCATTGGAATGGCCAGCTCTTCTACATGCACTTACTGCAGCTGCGAAGAAACCATCGCGCACCTTCTATGTGAGTGTACCCATTTCAACGCGCCAAGACAAGAATTGACTGCAGCTCTGGATAGACTGGATGATCGGTCTTTGTCGGAACAAAGGATTCTGGGTCATTGGTCGAGCCCATTCTCAGCCCAGAAGGCTTTGAAAGCTTTGCTGCGCTTTTTGCGGACAACTGGCCTCAGAGACAGACTTTAGTGTCTTATACTATTTGATGTCACCTTTCCTCTGTCGCTATTTTTTCGTAATTTCTCTCTCTCTCTATTCACAACATTTTTTTTATTATCTTTCATTCACCTCACCCCTTTCTCCAGCACTTGGTAGCCAGCCGGTCAAAGAACTGGCTAACCTCCCTGTCCTTCCGCTTAAACTTTCGTCCTCCTCCTTCTATTTTCAGTTGCTTCCTTAGAAGACTACGTATTAGACGAAGCAAAAATTTCGCGAAGGGGAGGTGAGGTGGAAAAGACTCCAAGATCCAACCCCCACCCTCTGTCTACGGGATTGATCGTGGACTTATCAGGCACGTTGACTGCAGTGCACCCGAAAGGCGTTGATAAAGTCGACGTGTCTAGAGTACAGATATCATTTTTATCGACTATAACTGCACGTTGCGGCACGATGATGTGCGCAACAGAAGAAGCTGTTTTTTGTCTGTATTCTTGCAGATCGAGCAATACTCGACTATAGCCTGGCGAGTCATAGGGGTTGATATGTAATGTTTATTACATTCTTACTATAGCCGATACCTAACACAGCTACCCGAAATTGATGTTGTAGCAGGGCACCGCAGTCTTTTTCGTATAAGCAGCTTGATGAACTGGCATAGCCTTGTTGTATAATACTTGACTGCAGGGCAGAATGTCTTGGTTCAATTCCGCCTCCAACTATAATTTTAGATCACTTCATATCTTCGTTTTTTTCTCACCAAAAAAACTGCCAAAATCTGCCCCACATTGTCTACAACACATTCTGAACAAAGCGATCTCGTAAAAATGTTTGAACTTCTGTCTTCGCCGTTCCTGGGTCGATACAAACTATGAATGTCTTCGACTCATACCTTCATTGCATGGTCCGTGATATATGGGCATGTGCCACACCTGGCTTAAGAAAAAGGTGTCATGACGTACGTGACTAGTGTCCCGCGCTAACACGTAAGACTTGTTAATCGCGTCCAACATACACTAATGCCCGGCTATGAAAAGTTTGATGTGTGTCGAGTTAAGAAGACGTCCACGACAGCGCCCAGACGTAGGTGGCTGGATAGATAGCAAGATAGATAAATTCGCAATTATAAATGGTAAAAGTTTCTTTGGTTTGTTGAAAAATTCTTTTGATTTAATACTTAACATGTATATCAGCACGCAATTCTCGTTGTGCAATATAGCGTTTGTTTTAAGCCACGACATGCGATCATGGTTTGCCAAAGTAGTCTTGGTCTGTGTAGTGACAGCAAAAAATAAATGAATGAGCAAGGTAATTATCAATTGATAAGTAGGAAGTCATGTTATTATTCAATTGAATATATGACATCTACTAGTTTTCATGGGGCAGAACGAAGTCCCGATCTTTGAGAAGATTTCAAACGGTTGTGTCAGCGGGCTTTGCTTGTACGCTATGGGGTGTACACATCTTTTCCCTCACTGTCGGCGCTATAGCTGCGTTTATTAACATGCCCAGACCGGAGCTGCATTTAACCCGCAGATTAACTGTTTTTAAGAACCCGACATAGGGAGCAAGCAAACAGTCAACTGATTACCTAGCCATTACGTAAGTGAGGTGGATACGATAGGAGCTTATCGCACGTCTACTTGCGATAAGCTCCTCTCATCTGGCATCGAAATTCGCCCACTAAAGTGAAAATTCGCTATGGCGCGCATTGTGCATAACATGCAGAGGTTAAAGTGAAAATGCATGTTGTACTTGGTGAGATTTTTAACACACCAACATCTTTCGATTTGTTCACTAGCCACAAGCGTAATTTCTAGCAGAAATAAATTGATGCACGTGAGCTTTCACGGGAGCCGTGGTGTTATAGGGCTCAGAAATTCTATCAGCCGCCTTGGTTCATAGCCTCGGTGAAGAGGTGGCGCCACTTTCTTATTCCCGCACTAGCTGGTCGCGAAGTCATGAAACTTGGTACCATGAGCATAGTCCTAGTTACCGTTTTTTTTTTCAAAAGAAATTTACATATTGTATTATAAAGCAACCATAACAAAGTTCACGGGGACTATAGAGCACATGCTGAGTCATAATGACTCCAATAGCCCAAATTCTTTGTTTAAATACGTAATCTTGTACTTAGTGCCCGCGCAGCAACCTCAATATAAATTTCAAAAAGTGCGAGTATGACTGGAAAAAGATGCGAAATGGTTATGCTAATTTTGTTTCCAGATTTTTTTCTTTTGCAGATAACTTAAAAGGTATACCAAGAGTGACACCCTGTGACTTCACTTCGAGGTTTAACTTCTTTAACACTAACACACCAGAGATAGGTGCGCTTATCGAAATGATGTCACACCTATCTGAGACACTTCCTTCGTGCTCATACAATCTCTATAACGTTGCAAACAAATAAAAGGTAATAGAACAGCAGTGTCTGATACGCAACGCCTAAAAAAAACTGATGGTTCTTCGTAAAGACATGACTTCCTTTAAGCGGCTGGGTGTATCGCAGAGAAAAAATTGAAAACTGAAATAAAAAATTGCCACTTTATTATCGAGTTGCTTCCACATCATGGTGCTCTTTTGCCTTGACATAAAAAACGCAAAAAAAGCGTGTACTTTTGTGTGAGAAGAGGGGCAGAATTTCGGAGATTCTTAATTTCGCTGCCCCTCATACTAAGATCATAGCAGGACCGCTAGACGATCTCGAAAATCTGGCCAAAACATTGTATGTGGACTGGAGACAAGAAGGAATAACATAAATTTTAATCCATACTTAGTGATACGCACCACAATCCTCGAAAACGCACGCGAAATTTTCAATAAATTTTGAATATAGTCTATAATAATAGACATAACATCACCTTTTTTCATAGACTACAACTAATACTGACGTGGATTAGAAAACGGGTAAGTAAGCTTGAAAAAAAAAGCACAAGAATAGAGCTAAAGAATTCCTCTTTATTTG